AAAGATAAAAAAACAAATAAAAAATGGTTAATTTCATTGATCACATATTTTCAAATTTGTTGGTCACAAATTATTTTTCAATCACATATTGTCAAATTTTTAGGTCACAGTTAAATACTTGGTCACAGATAACCAAATACTTAGTCACATACCGCTGTCACTACCACTTCAGCCACTTTTGACCACCCTCACCCTGTCGTCGCCATCACCACCACGGCCACCAACATCACCACCAACAAACCCACCATCACCGCATCCAACCACACACTATCACCACCAACAACAACCAGATTCGAACCCACCACACGCCACATCTGCACCACGCAGTCACCACTACTTCACCCACAGCACCACCCAACAAAAAAAATCACGTCACACTACAACCACCACCCAACAAAAAACCCCAAACCCGTCACCGTCACCACACCACCACCCGTCGCAACGCCACCACCACCACAACTCCACTCCACCACTGCACACACACACACACCCACAGCACACACACCCATAGCACCCGTCGCGACGCTGCTGTGAAAGCGTCGCACGACAGCTTCACAGAAGCAAAGATCCACTACGCCAACAGGTGCTCTAAGCGGTGGTCTTGAAGGAAAAAAATTCATATCGAGCAGCTGCGCTTCAGCCTCGATCGTCGCCGTGAGTTCAGCAGTGGATTGTTGATGTGGGTGGTGGTCTTCGACGATGGGCGGTGGTCGACAGTGGGTAGAGGGGAGATTTACAGAGAGAGTGAAGGGAATGGGAGATAAGGCGCGAGAGAGAGATGTGAGGGAGTTGAGAATGATAAATTAGGGTTATAGTTTTAATATATTACCTGATTTTTGAATAATGAAACTTGGTCCCTGATTTTTGAATTTCAATTTTCAAACACCTGAATTATGTAATTTCCCCATTGGATAATTCTATTTGTACATGGGGGTTACCGAAAATATTTTCTTGAATGCTTAGAAGTAGAAAAGTATTTTTTTTTTCTTTTTCTTCTATGGACTTGAAATACAGGGAAAACTTGTCGCATAAAATTATTTTATTAAAAAAATCTATTTTCAAATATAAATTTAAAATTAATTTATTTTTACCAAACAAATCATAAGCTCGTATTTTTTAAGCTCAATGACACAGGGATATTTAACTATTAAGTCACGCATATTCTCTCAAAATACATTTTTTCAAAACTCATTTTCAACCACATATTTTTCAATAAAATAATATTTTTTATTATATCAATAATTTTTTCTTACTTTTTAACAACATATTTCCCACAATATCATTATTTAACATACATTATTTTCTCAATAATATCCATCAAACACCCCCAATAATAGTTTTAATTATGAAAAAAATAGGCTGAACATCCCAACCTCTTAGAAAGTGTGTAATGAACTTCCTAACCTTCAAAACATGTTTTGACTTCGTTATTGGGGAAAATTAAGAATCAAGG